CAAGCTAACCGGGTCACAGCAGGTGAGAAGAAACGGAGGTGTCGTTAAATAGATTAAATCCAGAAGCGCGGGTCTTCGAATCCAGGATTATTGACAGTAAGATAGCCTCCAAAGGCCACAGACTTTTCGACCATAATGATCGCAGTCGAGATATCACCAAGTCTTCTGCCCGCCGCGACCCCGCCTTTGTTCCCATTGAACAAGAGTTAACCCACGGCATCGATACTGAGTAACCCAGCAAACTTTCGGAAAGTCAACGCCTAATTTTCCCTGTGCCGAGAAGAATTCTCGTACGGCCGGCCTTAAAAGCATTGATAAATATCTTTTGATGAACGTCCGAAAGTCCTGCATGTAGGATGTCCAACAAGTTCACGGGCAGATTTATCGAAGCCAGTCGGCTATAGTACCACCAATACATGGTTGTGAGCAGCCCTATGTCATCGGAATAAATTATTGGTTTCATCAATGTCGTTCCAAGACGCAGTGTGAAAGCGAGATCCGAAAAAGTAGTGGCGTCGTTTTCCATGTACATGTGCCTTGATATCGCTCCGGAAGAGTCGCAGAGATGGGCACAAGAGGAAGGTCTTCGCCAATAATTTGACAGATCTTTTGAAGTCGTGTGAAAAGCAAGTCGCCAAGGATTCTGTTACTGTACGCAGCGCACTTCATCGAGATAGAGGCCAGAGAGCCCAGACCCAAAAATCTTCGATGATAGAACCCTTGCAAGAGACGGAGTTTCAAGCATTTCAGGACATATTGGCAAAAATAACGCGGAAACCTCCCTGAGCCACGCTTTGAAAGAATTCTGGTTCTCAAGAGAAGTATTTTTATGTCCAAAGGTTTTAAAACGTCTCCACTTGACCGGTTGAACTCTCATTGCCCTGGTCTCCCAATGTTGTAAACAGCACGAGAGCCAGCGAGACGGTCCGGTCCCCTGTCCCAGACTATAGATTTCCCATCCCGGTCGGAACAACAACGGCTAGATCCCCCGAGCCCCCGAGTATAATATTGGCTGCAGGCGAGAACCAGGCTGGAGAATGCCTGAATTGATGGCTATCTGGTTCTATCGTTCCTCGGAAAGTGGCTGTAGAGGCTGTGAGGGTTGAACTTGACCATCAGCAAAGGCAGCGCAGGTAGGACGACCACGGCTAGAGAGGGAATAGGGTGTGAATCCTGGTGCTTGATGCCTTGGTTGCGCTTTTGCTTCTGTTCTCGCCGGAAAGGTGCATCAGTTGAGAAAGGTGGAGAGCCAGAGGAAATCGTTGAGCCAGCAATAGATATGCCCAGTGACGTGGGACATTGAGCGTGATGGATGCAGGAAGTACATGGGTAGGGTCACATTGACGAGGAGAAATTATTAAGGATATTCGCATCTCATACGATGAATGAAAAATCGCAGCACCCCAGGGCCCGGGATTCATAATGCGTGACAGTAGTGCTCTAATACAGTGTGAAATAGCGAACTAGCATTTGCTAGCGAGCGTGACATGGATACTGTAATTTTGGCGATGTGACTGTATTGATTTTGCTGATGCTCTGTCTTGGCTCCTGTCGAGAGTCAGAATCTCGAATTTTTTATTCTAAGCGAACGTGAGGAAGGAGCTGGAAGGAGTATGAACATAGAATGTTGTCTACGCGAAGATTTGGGTTGTGACGTGACAGTCTTCTCTGCCACAATCCTCAACCTCGTGTTAGACTTACCTGCTCATCTATCAGTGCAGCTCTATTCTTCTTTTCTCCCACCCCTTTTCGCAGCAGGTGTCTGTTCTAGACCTATCTCATCCAATCTTAGAATCTTATGCTGCTTGGAACCCTCGGTCACCCTCCCGCCCACACAGCTCATCTTAGATTGTTTTTCTCATGCATCAGAGCCTTTGTTTCAGTCGAAAAATCTAGTACTACCCTTAATATACAGCTAACTACCTCTGATCTCTCGGATCACTGGCAGTTCTCCCCTCAATAACATAACCTTCAACAGGCCATAGACCGGAACTCTTTGCCTTCCCGGATCGGAGCAAAGGCTCTCCGAACCTATAAATAACATAGGTAAGGGAGCTTTATCTATTAATAAACTTCCAAATCAAAACATCCTGGTCAGATAGCTGGTCAGATGTCACTGAGTGCGAAGGATTTACCATTTACGTGCTGATAGAAATGATAGTAAAGGCCGGTCAAATTCTGGTGACATCGAAGTTAGGTGAGTCACCGTGAACGTGAAAGGTGCGAAAGGGTTCAACCATTCCGGGGACTACAGTCTACCAAATTGTGCATATGGTTATATCACTGATTAGAAGTAGCCAAACATATAGACTCAAGAATCTATATATACTTGTACGTCCGCCTTTACTTCCTGCATCGAAACTGCAAGCATCGTTCAACAAGTACGTGGATCTTGCACTAGCCTCAGCATGTCCGACTCACACTTCGCATTTCCACAGATCCCCACAGTATTACTGAAAGATATCATGTCTCAACCTGAGCTCATCATCATCCAATCCTATACTTTCCGCAATATGTTTTTGCGCTTAGATGGAAGTGATGTAGATGATGTATATGGTAGCATTGGAGCCTCCCTCACTGGACGGAACCTTGCTGGTTCATGGGAAACCTTTAAATTGCACTTCAATGGGGACCATACATACTCTCTTGAGTCTAATGCTTTCCCCGGTATTTTCGTTCGTTTGGACGGTCGAAATGTAACCTCGGCTCAAGCACACGGTGGAGGTGTAGTTAACTGCTGTCGAGGTGCTGAAGAATGGGAAAAGTTTTATATGGACAGACATGACGACGGGGCAGTGTCATTTAGATCGGCGGCATTCTCAAATGTGTATTTGAGGATGGATGGGAGGGCAGGGCATTTGCAGGATGGGCAAGTCAATGCCCAATTTACTGTAGATCAGTACGAAAAGTTTCTTGTGTGGCGCAGAATGTGATGCTCTGTAACGATCCGGTCTCTTAGTTGCAGTGACTTCCTAAAGTTCCACTTTGCGATTATCCCTTGTCTTTGTGCTGATTCCTTCATCCATCAGGTTATCACTGCGTGAAACGGCGAGATCGTAATTCAGGACGTGATTGGAATATCGAGTCCATTCGAAATGAAAGGCAAATGACTAGCATTGAATCGAGATGAGAAGTCCAAGCAAAACAAAGGATTGGTTACTTACTATTGACCTCTGGCCATGATTCAGAACTCAACACTTCAACGATTCCAATTACACGAGGGGACCTTTGACACACGAGCGTCGAAATTGGTCCATATGACAGAGCTGTAACCGAACGAGATGGCTAAATATGAGTAAGAAAGAGGCATTCAGAGTACCAATACTACTCACTTGGCGTACCCAAATCCCCATTTGAACCTGTCCGCTGCGCCTTACCAACCTAACTGACGCCCTAGACCCATAATGACGGGCACCAACTGGCTTTTCGCCCACGACCAGTGGGCGATCAGCGGGCGACTGGTCTATCCTGCCTTCGTCCTCTCCTACTTGTTTTCCTTCGTCATCTGCAATAACCTCAACGGCCGATCCAAGACGATCGTTGACGGTGCTCCCGAACTGATAAACGAAAGGCAAGGCGTCGAACTCACGTCAAGTCTTGACTTTTGTATTGAACGTGGTACAGACTTAACCGCTATTTATTTCCCCATTTGCAAGTTCTACCCTTCCTCTTTATGGTGAGCGCCGTAAATGGTTTCAATTGTGTAAACGCCGATTGAACTCGTTTCTTTGGTAGATGATTAATCGGCGGTAAGTGTAACACCCATACATTCGGCGAATGAAATCCAATGCAGTGGTCGGTGTAGTGGCTAGACTATGACGCGGTCGTTTAAGGACGAAGTGGACCTTGTAAGCAAGTGAGTCACTGGTTTCCTTGCTTTCCTTTGTGTGACAACAACTCACCTCTACTCATTATATTGGACCGATTGAGGATGATCGTTGACGATACTCTCGAACTAATAAATGGAAGGTAAGACGTCGACCTTTAAGAATGAACATCACAGATTTACTGCTATTTCCTTCCAATTTTCCTCTTTTATGATGGGTGCTGCCTATGTAGATGTGGACCAACTCGTTTCTTTACGATGGATTCGACGAGTGAGGTCTAATTCAGAGGTGGTTACCATGGCTATACGATGACGTGGTTGTTGAAGAATGAAGAGGCGGGCTTGGTAGACGGCAAGTGAGCTACTGGCTTGCTGCTGTTTTTGACAGAAACTCACCTCTGTTAGATTTGAACGCCCAGTCGCAACTAGAATCACAAACGACAGATTCAACGAGAATCGCTCGTTGACGCTGTTGGAGGAGTGACCCCAATGCCATACTTGATGAACTTATGGATTCGACGAAAAAGGTCCAATCTGCTTGTAGACGTAGCACTTAGCCAGACGACGACAGGGTTGTTGCATTGGATCTAGTGGACGAAAAGTGAATTATTAACTCGTTTTCTTTTCGACAACAGCGGCTTACCTCTATTCAATAGATTCGAACAATAACGAATCTATGATAGGTTTGAAATGTCGCTTTCTGATGTTTGACACCTGATCAACACTACTTCCTCGATCCCATGAATATGGGAAGATGAACAACACTGGAGAGAGATGCTGCAGATGACGAGATAGGGTCTACGAGTAAGTTGCTGTATAGTCGCAAATGTGTCTTTTTCAGAGGTGAGATGAATAGAGGTCGGTGAGTTTATGTTGACGAGGAGATATTAAGTTAAGTACCTTTGGACTTTGGCCTCCGGCTTTATTCTTCGCAGCCCTGGTCGCCTCCATCCGCCATAAGACTCGGCTTTCTTCCATCTTTTCGGTCTATCGAGAAACCGTGCCTACAATGAACCCCAGCCTGATTTAGAAACATATGATCGATCTGGGTCGGCCAATTTGCTAGAGGAAATCATTGTTGGCAGTGCCAAGTACCAAATGAGTGGGATCAGTGATGATGGGATTACGAAACGACCACGCGAATCATGTATCTCAATCAAACACGGAAATTCGCGCCCGCCTAGCTCAATCGGATAGAGCGTCAGACTCTTACAGTGCGGTTGGGCATGGGCAACAATCTGAAGGCTGCGAGTTCGACCCTCGCGGTGGGCTACTAGTTTTTTTTTGTTTTTGATTCATAATGATATACTTGCACACACGCCTAGCAAACCTCATATGACTTAGTGTGACAAAAGTGACGAAATCAAACCTTTTGAATGATAGGCATCTGTACATAAGTAAATAAATATATATGGCTCCTAAGAACTGTAGATAAATGCATTCCTAATGGTTACAGCTGTTCTCATATATATCTGTAGACGTTTTCAAATTTTCGCCATCGTGCGCCTTTGTTTGTGACAAACACCCAAAAATAGTAGTATGACGCAGGGTGTACTTCTTCTCCTCCCAAAGAAACTCCAGAACATCGATAGCGATGAATCTTTTCGCTGAGAGCGAGCCTACAGGAGCCAAAAAAAAAGCGATCAAGCCCCGATGTGGGCACCAGTAGACGACTCACGAGTCCTACTCTCAGCGAAAAGTCAATAACGAGCTGGAGTACTATCGATCGTTGCGATCTCTGTTTTGAAGGAATCGCATATTTGCAGTAGAGAAGGGTGGCACGACGAGGCTATCCTCTCTTTCTTTGAAACACGCCGCAATTGTTTAGAGTAGAAGAAGGGGCTTCGAGGACGCACCTTAAACGATACATGAAGTGGTATGCTGGGGTTCCTTGCAAAAGTACAAGATATTCCATGGATGGAAAGTTTCCTACTTGTGCGTAACCTCAGAGTCCGTTTTATCCCTTATTTATCTCTCGGTAGGTGTATTATAGTAAGTCTAATTCAACAGCAGGTATATTGACATTTTTGAGATAAAATTACTTTATATCAATACTGTCAGTATGCTTGTTATATTTCTCAACACCCTTGAATGAATTCGCACATCTTATTACACTCGTACATCTGGGTGGTCTACACAAGTCATCAGCCGCGCTTAGCTTCCTTTCTGCCAAATGTTCAACTCAACAATGATTTCGTCTGAGGTAACAGCACATCATTGAACCAATAATTTGGAACCATAGACAAAAAATACCTACACACGCAGGGTCTCATATTCAATTTCTTCTCGAAGTTGCGCATACAAAATACAGATAGCGACGAAAAAGAAAAAAGAAAAACAACAAAACGATTTGAATTTACTTATTGCATCGACTCAGGCATCAACTCAGACCCCAATGGAGAATGGCCAGCAGCCCTCAAGTCCTCATTGATTTCTGCGATGTGATTCATAAATTGACCTTTCAAGTTATCCCACATCTTAGGCTCGTGAACTGGGGAAGCGTCCTCAGTAATCGATCGATTTAGAAAACGCGAAATTAAACCAACCATGCAGTTTTCCGGACCTCTTCATCGCATAATCGGTAATGGTGAACATCATGCTTGATTCGAACATGAATGCTAGATAATCGATATCAAACCCGCATCCAGTTTCGGTTTTTTGGGATGGAAGGCTCACCTATGGTGCCTTCGGAAATTCGCATCGGCCCCAAGTCAGCTTCAGAAGCCTTTTTAAATTCGTCGTAGGAGACTTGAGTGACACGTTCAAAATATGAATTTGATCTATGGATGATATCGAAATGCCAACATACCACCATGAGGGCAGAATCCCGTCTCGTAGCTAGCACCACCTGGGGAGAAGGTCAGTTTCGTGTGATTCACACCAAATGCCCAACGAACCGGGTTGGAATCCATCACTACGACCGCCATAGACGCCGTAAATCAGGCCCATAAACTCTGTCGACGAATTTCGATGGTAGTACTAGCCTAGCGATCAGTTATAATACGAAAACAGACGCTGAAAACCGTACTGGAGGCCTGAATGTGCCAGACGCGACATCCCATCTTGGACTGAAGATAAGGAAATCCGCCAATGGTACTCCTGGCTGTTTGGACTTTGCTGTGAGAACACAGAAGATCGAAGGATCAATGTGATCCTTGGAGATGCTTCCAACGTTGACGAATTTTTCCATCGCATATTTGTAAGGGACATAGCTAGATAATCGTCATCTCTTTGAGACGTTGGAAGAGGTCAAAACTCTTACTTTCCGTGCCAAGCAACAACATCAAATGGCGTGTGTTCTTGTACACAAAGGTGTAATTGACCGCATACCCTATAAATCGTCAGCTGCAAGAAGATCAAGCCAAATCAACAAGGATTTACTTGTAGACAACTATCATAATTATAAGTCGTGGTAATCAATCATGTCACAGGAATTTGACTTACTGTGCCATAAACTCTGGTCGATATCAAATGATGCAACCGGGCTTTCGAAGTCGCGAGAGTTGGCGAGGCCATTGCCTCCCAACGGGCCAAGCTCGGGGAGGACATAATGAGAGCCATATATTTCTTGAATGTCTATATTTCCTGATTCATCATAGACGGAACTCATTAAAAATGGAGTCACATACAACCACGGGAAGGACCATCTGGAAGGATGACCTGTAGTAGGAATAAGTGGTCATTCAGAGAATGACATCCAGCTAATTTACCTTGAATTTTATCCCACGTTGTATGACACACAACTCTCCCGACCTCACCATAAGTCTACCATGATCAGAATAAGCAATAAAACCCCCTCGAAAATGAACTTTGGCGTACTTTCCAAACTCGGTCTGTATATCCAAGCGGCCTTGTTGGGGAAGAATCAACATGTCTCCGTCGTTATTGCAGAAAGCTCTTTTCTCCATAGATGTATTGGCAAGATACATATGGATGGCAAGTCCTTCACGAAGAGTGGGATCTCCGTTACCAGCGATCGTCTTCAGTCCATCAACAAAGTCGACTTTTTCGGAAGCCGGAGGAAGGTCGAATGGATGCCATGCTAGTTGAGTTGGACTGGTGTGAACTTTGGGGTTGAGCGGAAGGAAACAGGATTCAAGCTAGTAGATGAGTCAGTCGGACGCCAAAGATATCTTTGTGAATATAATTCGACACAGACATCTGGATTATCTGGCAGGCGATTAAAGCCTTGGTGGGCAACGGATGGTCGAATGCGGTAGAGCCACCTAGATGAAAATGACGGATGATAAGGCCCCGCGTTAGTTGCAGTTGAAAGAGATTAGACACACGAATGAAGATTCTCAGCTCGAGGAGCAACAAACGATGACCCAGTCATCTATAACACATTCAGCATAAGTAGTATACGACGCAAAGATCGCGAATCGATGCGGGGAGCTACTCACTGCCTCTGCATACAGATCATATTTACACTTCTGTGGACTATTTTGGCCTTCAGGCAGAGTTCCCGGACTATTGAACTCCATGATCAATATGTGTGGTAGCATCGCTGATAACAAGACTTACAGTGCCTCACTAGCAAAGAGATTTCCAAAGCCAACTTGATACTCGTATGGATCTTCCTCGCGAGCTCGAGTGGGGAATGCACCCTTGGCAGATGCTCCAGATGCAGAGAGAGGCATGTCTATTTTATTGAGGGGAAGTTAAGGAACTCAGAATGGATGGACTTATATATAGAGGTCTCACGGGAAATAATAGCCAAGATTGACTAATAGTACATCAATCTAGAAACTTTTGCGCATGGAACGGTTCTTGCCGGGTTGCCACCAACTGGTTATAATCAAATAAACCGACAGTCGGAGGATTCTCCTTAGGAATACCACCCCGCAGAGACAGTAACCTCAGAGCCTGAGCGACCTCACGCTTGTGAGGTGGTTGGTCCTACTGACAACTTCAATCCAGCAACTTGAAGTCATCTCGAACTCGAACTCTGGGGATAGAGGAAGGATGATCGATGAGCGCTGAGCGCTGAGCCACAAATTGTTTGCTATTCGACATATTAGGAGGATCGGCTTGTGGATCTTCTCATTCATTATACTTCAGCTCCAGCGTTATAGTTAATCCTCGTGACAGCGAGGCTGCCGACCGTACCCTACGGTACAGATACGGTTTATGGCTACCGTAATACGTCGTCGAAGTGGTGAAGTGTACAGTTGCGGACGAGAATTTGCCCCTTCCTTTTCGGGCGCTCCCCAATACCCCAGAAAATTTGACCCAATCTTTGGGAAAATGTATTTTTAGATAGATCTCGTCTATAATCTTTGGGATGATAATCGATAAGAGCCAATTTCATGAAAAAGTTTCATCAGGCCTGAGGCCTGAAGGCCGTCCCCGCCGGGATATTTCTGGCTTAATAGGTAACCGTATATCGTATACGGTTGGCAGCCCTAGTGCCACTGACTCCGTAGCGGCGCTCTGAGTAATTGTTCAAATACGGATACTTACTCACGACGAGTGCTTGCTATGTGAATCTGGGGCTATCAATATCGTCCTTAGCTGTTTTCGAGCAACTTCATGCTTACTTAAAACCAGAAGAACGTTATATCGCCGAGGAGTTTGCAATCGCTTCTACCGATTTTCCGAGCATTCTGTGATATACTTCTATGCTTCTACTATGCCACACTCTGACTAGTCGCAGTGGTGCGATCTTGCATCAATACTGCTATACCATCTTGCTCCTCAAACTCTCAAACTCATACTACAGATTCCTGTTGAGGATCATGTCCAGCAACTGTGCCATATCCAATTGGAGGAAGGAGAGAAGTTCGAGCGTTACCTCGATGCTTCCGTTCAAGGCTGCCATGTAGTTGAATCCGGTGATCTATCAAGGGATCACGCAAAGCTGAGCTTCACTAGCTTCACTTCTCAGCTAGTGTTTGCCAATATCACAGTGGCGCGGGCTTCGAAGCCATTGGCTCGAAAGGATGATTTTCATTCGCCAACTGGAAGAAATTATCTCCTTTCTCCTTGCTTTCTCCTCAGCCTACGGATGGTCTCAAATCCGAGAGCAGCTTCAAGTTAGGATATCCTCTAGCTAACATCTTTCCTTTCACCGAACATTAAGGACCAAAATTCCGAGGAGTGGCGTTGCATCTATAATCAAGTGCCCTCGTTTCCCGACTAATACTGGCTTATTGTTCATTTGCAGTCCTGAATCTGTAGCAGTCTCACTTTACCTTTGAAAATAACAGCGCCTGGTATTGATGCACTTCCGTACATTTTGCTTCCACTTGCAGGACTTTGACGGTGTTTTT